TTTATATAAAATAAATTATTATACCTACCTTGTACAGTTGTATTTGATTTGTAGCTGTGCCCGTATTAATTGCTTTTTCAACACAATATTAATTACACAATTTATTGTTTTTCAGAAAAATCAGGGTTTCAGCCGCCATACAATATGGAAAATGGAATGGTAAGGATTATTGATTTATTTGTTATTAAGTTTACTGGTCCGTTTTTATAGCAATCTATTAAAATAGGTACCTATATCAAAAAAAAAAAAATAATAATAATAACGTTTTAGAATGTACATATTATGTTAGCAAACATTGTTTTCACTGCTGTGGACGGCATTGAATTAAACATTTGTGTTTATTTTTATCATTAAAAATAATGGTTTTTAGATGTTATTTTATTATACAACGCTTGTATTAACAATTTTGTTTGTACATTTTTCAGGCATATGGAAATAACTTTGCTTCTGGTCCTGAAACTTTTAGTCCAGATTCTCCTTATTTTCCGTTCAGTAACACTCCAAGGAAACCCCTTCCTACGACTACAGCTGGTACAGCAGTAAAAAGAAAAAGAGAGGTAAGCTAAGACCTAAATAATACAATAAGTGTAATAGTTTTCGTTGCAAAGAATAATGTATTATTTTAAAACCAATTGTTTGCTGTGCCGATTGGACATTTTGTTACTGTAGTCTCAATGTATTTTACAGAGTATCGATTCACCTCCAGCAGAACCGTCAGAAGTTGAAGTTCCTCATCACTGGGTAAGAATTGTATATAATAATTATAAATTTACCCGCTTTATTGTGTTTTACTAACTTCATAAAAGCGTAGGCATTACTCGGTGAAAAATTCAAATGTTGTATATAAAAATGTCTACAGAAATTGAATCTATTGTAATGCTTTTATTTGGTGTTAACTGGCGTAAAAATATTTCAACAGAAATCTTCTAGCTCCTAAAACTAGCTTTCTCCGTAATAAGCTAAACCAAACTATATTAGTAAATTCGGTATATTAATATAGTATAAAAAATTGTAATATCTAAAATAATAATATATCTAATCTAATTCTTTTTAAACTATCTTACGGATGAATAAAATATAACGTATTAGGTATTAATTATTTACTTTGATAAAAAAATTTTGACCGGTCTTTTAGTTCTACATTAGCATACATTAGATGTTCTCGATATTTGTGTCTGACTAAACTTTCACAATTAATAGTAAACACATTTTAAACGCTATGATTTAAAATTTACTTTGTTACAAGGTATGATATATGCGTGTTTTTAACTCTGTTTTAACAAGCAGTTTTTAGGAAAACGGTTGACAATTATTATTTTTTTTTTTTTGGAATTTATTTAAAAATTAAATAATAAAACATTTTATTTAAATTAAAGGAGGGCTGGTCAAATATTGAAACTTGGTCCAATATTTAGGTTTCATCTGGATTTAATGTACAATCCACTCCCAGTTTAGACTTGAATCAAAATTAAAATACAAAAAATTAAAAGAACCAAATGTTTTTTCTATGTCAAAGTTATAAATACAACTGTTTTTGTCATGTTCTAATAGGAAGTATATTTCAGGTTGGCATTAAGTGATAACTTTGCGTTTGTCTCACTTTCGTCTGAACGCAGTGTGGTAAAAAACATTGCTCGTATTTGAACAGCTTACCTAAAGCATATTGTACACTATAGACTCTTTAGAAATTTGTTCTAGGTTGTTAGGGCTTAAAATATACGTATTTTTTATTTATAGAAGCGTCGCAACTTAGCATAGCCGTATTGTTGTGGCCTTTTAGTCATTGTGATCGTCCTGTTCGTTTACTTAAAAACTTTATAACATTTTATGATATTGTTATATCATAAAGAAAAATGACAAGTAAAATAAAACTAATAACAATCGATGACCACTTTGCAGGGTACATTTTTAGGTAAATACTTTATAACTGTAACTATGTTGGTAACTATCTGAGTTGGCTTGTTGGTCAAGTTTTTATATTGATATCCCCCCCCCCCTCCTAAGTATTCTCATAAGTTGTTTGGACCACGCTAATTCTTTTTTTTTTTTTTTTCCCACTCCAACTTGTTTGTCTATTATATTATAATATACTCCTTTATGATAAATAAATATATTTTTATAGACACTTAATTTGTAATAAACGGTGAATAAAATAATTTGAGATTCGAAAAGTAGATTGGCCGAGTCTCGGATTTGCCCATGTGGCCGCCGTCGTCAATTGAATGGATAATTAAATATTATAAAAGATATTAACAATTTTATTACCTATGTACTCAGGCTGAGGATATAATTATTTAATTAATTTTTTTCAAGGTCCTAAGTTATATATTGTAGTCCAGATTTCTTAAAAAAAAAAAACTCCTATAACACCGTAAAATATAAAAATGGTTTTTATTGTTTTTTAAATAAGTTTGCAGTTTGCAGTAGTAGAAATTGTTTTTTGAAAAAATATTTTATTTCAACTTGATTTTTAGCTCATGTTTCCCAAAATTGTGTCCAACAAATAGTGTATTTTTAGGAAAACACTTGTTTGGGCAAAGATTTGTTTAAATTTTGAGTTGAAAAATTAAGGACGAGGGCTTGTGAAAATAACGAATGACACTTTCTGTTGGTATTTAATAAATACATTTTTTCCAAATTACAATTACAATCCGAGTTAAAAAGGCGTCGCTAAAAAAATGTGTGTACCAACACAAATCTTAAAATGGGCTGTAGATGTTATTTTCTGATATGAAATTGAATGTACTCAAATAAATAATAATATACCCTCGAAATATTATGCTAATTATTGAATTCGAATGTATTTTTTTCTTTTTGGAATTATCTGTTCAACAAAATAAGATATTTGTAAAATATAAAATTTTAAAAAATGTCTCGAAACCGGCTTTACATTTTGATAGTGTGTTCTAAAATAATGAAAATTAGTTGGCAGTACCTATCATATTTTTAAATACCTACGTTTACAAAATAATATATGCTCTACTCAACTTGCTCGATCAAAATTTGATACGGGTACTTTGTAATTTGTTTGAATATTATTTCAATAGTCGTTTTGAAAACAAATTAAACTACTTTTTCGTTGTATATTTTTAGTCGGCTTTTTCTCGTGTATTTTCTCATACACTTGTATTAATTTTGTAATTAATTTAACCGAGTATTGAGTATATATCTATTTATATATATATTAATAGTATGTGTAACTTATGCGAATACGATAGCGGTGTGTCAGCAAAAAAAAAAAAATCTCAAGATATTATGTAGTGACTCATGAACGTCGTATTCTCAGATGCTCTCATCTTCGTTGGTCTTCTGAAGATTAATAATTATTGTTTTAGAACCAAAAAAAAAAGAATAAATACAAATTATACAAGAAAACGTGCACGTGTGTCACGTCTGTGGTGGTCACTTTTCGTGCAATTTTCTAGTGTCTAGTGCGGTGTTCTTGTTTTTGGTTGGAGAATTTTTTATTTTTCGGTTTCCTAAGATTTCAAACCCTGTAAACGCGGTGTTCGGTAGTCGACGAAATAAAACATTTATCACGGTCCGGGGGTGCGGCGAGGGATGGGGGGAGAGGGAGTCTGTGCAAGATACAACAACCCGGTTTCGCTTTACGGGTCGTCGGCTACGGTGGTTCAGCGTGTCGATGGAGTACACAACAGTGTAGTATATAATATAATATTATATCTATACTATACTATATACGTGTGTGTGTGTGTGTGCTGAGTAATATGATTTGTGTGAATGTGCGTGTGTGTACCGCCGAAACGCTGTGTGAAGAAAGGAGGACCGCTGTGCTAGTGTGTGTGTGTAGAGAGAGGAGTAGTTTTGTAACATCTGGCAAAGTGGCATCCCGTGTAGGTGGGATCGCCTCAGCAACAGCAACAGCAGCAGCGACGGCGGCGTAGCATCATCATCACTTGTATGTGTATTTGTTGTTAGGTTGTAAACCGTGTGTTCGGATTGCACCGTCGTCGTCGTCGTCGTTATGGCCGCCCCGTCACGGTTTTTATCTTCGGTTTCTTCTCTTTGGCTTCTTATAATCTTATCCCGAGCCACCCGCGGCCAAAGGCACGTACATTACATATTTTTGTTTTGTATTTTCTTCAAAAACCGTCTTTTGGGGGGAGGGGGGGTGCTTGTCGTCTAGATTTTTTGAAATTTTCGATATAGTAGTTTTTTACGTGACGCAAACCGTAGGACTAAAAGTCAGTCTTAGAGTAACAATCGCTTACCAATGTTGGCTAGTATATGTTAATTCATATATTTTTATTCTTTACTACTCTATGGGACAAAGGCTCTGCTCTGCACCACTACTACGGGTTCCTCGGCCGGAACCTGTAACGCCGCCGGGGTAACACGACCCGGTGCGCAAGTGCGGCGGCGTATCTGATTTCTAGATGGGGGTCGGTAACACAGCAGTAAAAACCCCCACGTCTAGAGGAACTATTGGGTTTCGGTATTATATTATATTGTAATATTATAGATCTCAGCCGTCGCCTCCCCCCAGATCTCGTTAAAGCTGTTATTGTTGTTTGATGTTTTTGTCACTCTCTTCGGATAATATGCGTACGTGCATTTTTTTTGAACCTAATAACAACAACACTATGTATAGAGGTACGCGCGATAATAAGCGCTCATTAGACGCTTTATTGTTTGGGGAAAACGTCGACGGCAATTTCATTTGTATTATATATTTTTATTCTCCTATCCCATTGTGGCCGTGCGTGGTGCCGGCGAATGACTGCGTAGTGCGTGCGTCGCCGCCGCCGCAGCCGTCCGATTACCGTGGACGACTGCGGTTGGCAACAATGTCGCCGAGGGTCTAGTGCATAATAAATATTATGCTGCTGCGTTTTCGTATGGTACGCGTACGGTGTGCGATCGCGTGCAGCCGTATGTTATAGAGCGAGTTTTGGTGGGGGGCGTTGGCGTTCGGAAAGAGGTAGGCGCCGGTGGAGGTGGTAATAGTGGTAGTACGTCCGTGTTCCACTGTACTGCACGCGACTCGTGGTGGGCATAGTATACGCGGCGGCTGTGTACAATACAATATATATAATAATATATAATATTATAAATTATTATTGTAGCCTGTTGCTTCCTTCGGGCGCTGCGGCCGCCGCGGCAAAACGGTTTTTAGTGTGGCGACGACTTGCTGTGACAATGGACACGCCGAAGCCGTAGCGGTACAGTCTCGTCCCGGCAGTGTGCGTGTGCCTGTGCCTGTGTGTGTGTGTGTGTTCGTCGTGTATGTGTACGTACTACAAGCGTGTGTCCGCATTCGCCTTCGCAGTCGTCTAGCGTTCGCTCACGTGCCGCCGTTGCGGTGTTGTGCAGTCTTCGCCGACGACCATCTGGGCGCCGCGTTTCTGGTTTCGGCCGCGTAAACCGACGACCCTTCCGCACGCCCCCCCCCCCTCCCCTACCCGCCGCCGAGGGTGCTGTACGGCCGACGACGTACCGGCCCGCCGACATGCACCATTACCGGACCAGGGAAGAAGAAACGTCCGCTTGCGGCGGCGGCGGCAACGACCCGTACTTTTACCTCCGGCTGTCGGCCGGCACCGCGACGTACGCCAACCCCTTAAAGCTCGAGGTCGACGTCAAGCCGGAACCGGGAATGACGCCCGTGCCGCTCCACGGCGGTTCGCCTTCTACCACCGACGTGCACATGGACGCCGGCGGCGTTGGCTGCGGTGGCGGCGGCATAGGCCTGTTGGCGTTGACTCAACTCGACGGTTACGGGTACAAATCGTACGATTCCGGCGACGGCGGCGTGATCGCCTCCACGGACGTCGGCCACCTGGCCTATTCGTCACCTGACGACACCAAATCTCATCTACACCAGCACCACCAGCAGCAGCAACAGGTAACAGAAGCGAGCACTTCCCGTAACCCCCACGTTTCGGGTTATCCGTTTTCGCCCGCTGGGTTGTTTGTTTACTCACCGTTTCCGGTCGTCATCCGACCATTACTCTGCGACGACACTACTCAACGCCTTTATTACATGCATTTAACGTTTTAGGAAAACAAAAAAAAACTTTTAAAAACATTAAAACTGGGATGGCGAAATTTGTGTTTTTTCCAAATTACTTTAATTTAAAAAAAAAAATCGAACAACAAACTTCCATAAGAATACAATTTGTTTCTCAATAGTCCGGTCCAAAACAACTGCGGTATCTGTTTGATGAAACGTACCGATCTTTATTTATCTCTTAGATAATGTGTCTCGTTGAAAATATTTCACGGTTCGCTTGGCGTGCGAGAATTCTCGTCGACAAATTCCAAGGAAAATATGGTTTACCAAATTAAAATCATATTATTATCCACGTGCGCTTGTAACAAAGCTTGTAGCCTATTTAACATCCGACGTCTGTACTCGACGGTCGGATTTTCTTTTGGCGTGGAAAGCTTTTGCGTTTCCACGAATATATATATTCACCGTGCAGCCAACGGCAGTTCTAAACCGTACACGTAAATGTACAGAGTAGCAGCTATAAGTAGGTCTTTATTGTTGATTATATTATTTGTAAGGTGAGCCAAACCAGTTGGCAGATGTTAAAAAACACACCTGCCTGCATCCTCACAACAATGGTCTCCTACCCGCCGCGCCTCCGAAACATGCTTGATTTTTTCCCCTTCTTACGCGCCCAGCTCTGCGAGCCTACTTACAATTTAATATATTTTATGTCTCTATTTTTTTTTTCCACGCATATAATATATTTATATGTATGTATGTATGTATATATGTTTGCTTGTATAATAATTATTCTCGTTCTTTGCGCACGTGCTGTTGTACCCACACTACTTTATGTGTGTATTTTATTTTGACTATTTCTCTCTTTCGGTCGAAGACATTTTCATAATTTTTACGTTGCGCTTACGCCAATAATCGTTGTACAAGGTTGATTTGCCCGATTTCGGTTCGCGTATGGTGCAAGGCCCACACGCACAGCTGTCTGGTTTTGATTTTTGTGTCTAAATCACAATGTGCACCTACATAAAATAACGTAATACACGTGTATCATCGTCTAAGTATACCACCACGGTGCTCTCATTAGCGTACAGTAAGAGTATATTATCATATTCTAGAAAGACACAAACGGCGGTGTTCAGAGCATTCAAAATATGTTGTGTGTAAAAACCACCACCCCGTTTAACTTGGACAAAATTAGAAATACTACTATGTTTGCTTGTTGGTACCTTTTGTGCAAAACAAACGGGTTGGATTTCTATTATTGAATTTGATTTCTGTAGTTTGGATTTCACTACAGACCTCAGTAATATGAAGTAATGTTACAAAAATTATTATTTTACATTGGCAGTTTTCTTTTCTTTGGTTTATTGTGTTGTAGACAAAAATATATCAAAAGTAACTATTTACCGGACGTTCCATATAGTGATAATTGGTAAACGCAATAAAATCGTCATTGTCCATTGTTTGGTTTGTCGATCCGAAACTGGATTTGTTTTTGTATTGGTTTATATACGGAAAACGTCGGAGCAACCTAGAACGAGGAATAGAAAAACGACGGTAGCAGCTTTGACCATATTACATTACTTATTATGTGTTTAGCGATAATGATAATAAATATACTTACTACTCTATTATGTGGTCGGCGTTTTCTTTATACAATCCGGTAGAGGTATGCGGTAGAATTCCTTAATTCGCCAAAGTAGGAAGTCTTGTCTTACAGTTAATTGTTGTGATTGTTTTCCTCGTCGTCTCGTTTTGTCTTAAACACGTTTCTTCGTTGTGATGTGCATTTATTTCATTTTTTTTTTTTGTCTTAAACACAACCAGAGCTCGGATGTTAATGACCATAAATGTGTTGAAATGTGTATTGATCATCCGATCATCGTTTATGAACTCTAATGTTCTCTGTTTTCACACAACACTTGTGGTCTACACCGTTACCGGATAAGTTACCTTACACAACTTTACCACCCTTTTTGTCTAGTAATAATATTAACGCGAATATACACTTGTGTATTTTGTATACAGGAACTAAACAGTAGCCGGGTTCACCGAACTAAACTGTGAAATGCGTGTTTACACTCAAATCAATAATAAAAATCGATCGATGTGTTTTAGTAAATTATTATAATGCGTCGACATGTTTTTACTAAAAACGACGTTTTTTTTTTAATTTTTTTTTTATTTGAACAAAATAATACTCGGCTACACAATTCTGAACACACACACACACACTCCTTTTATGTATTATAGTATATAAAAAAAAAAACTATTCCAATGTGTACTATTCGTGCTGTGCGTCGAGAGTTCATAATAAAAATTATTTAACGACTCTTCATTAATTACTTTACCAAATTCGACACCACCCAACTCGGTATTGGTCGCCATCTCTCAATCCCGTATGTGTGTATATATACATATAATTGCCCTGTGTAATGGACCAAAACGCGGTGCGGTTGTATATGCGCCTTATACATACCATATAGTATTGTTTATTGTAATATAGTATTAGAATCTTACAGTCTTGTATTTTTTGTCCAAGTCACGCCCGGTCAAATGGACCCGATAATAAAAATAATTTAAAAAAACATTGGTTATAAGAAATGTAAGTCTCGTTTGCTGTTAGAAAAATTTGTTGTTTTCTTTAAGTATAAAAATTTAAAAAAAATACTAAACCAAAAACCGAATAATCCTTTTTTTTTTAATTTTTATTATGATAAATAAAACAAGTATTAAGCGACGTTTGTGTGTGTTTATGGTGTTCCTATGTGTGTACATTTTTTGTTTTTGATCTTAAATAATGTAAATGTAATTTTATAGACCTTTTGTATCTCAACACGTGCACAAGAGTTAAGTTGGTTAAGGTATTATAAAAAAAATACACAACACACGTATCAGTGTCAAGTATGAATTATTTAGTTATCAAAATGAATTAATACCGTATTGTTAACGTGTGTTGTACAGCTATAATATTTTAAATAGTTTATTATATTACAACTTTAGAGTCGATAAACGGGACGGAGAAATATTGATTTTTTGTTAACGAAATTACATAATTGAAATTCGATTAAAACACTGAATCGTTTCGATACGTTTTAAGAATTGTTCAAAGTTTTATTTTTGTGTATTTTGTTTGCAATTGTTATATTATTTATTGTTGGTCGGTTTAGCGTTTTTTTTTTTTTTACCTCGACACGTACCTATTTAGATTTAGGCTGTGGTGTATTATAATATATACCTATACCTACGCGTTGAACGTGTCGTTATATTTGGATACCGAATTCTAGGGTGAGGGGAGGGGAAGGCGAAGGGGCTCGTTCGATCATAATATTTTTGGTATCCAAGACAAATAAAAACAAGTTACCATAAATTAAAAAAAAATAAAACGTATACGTGTTCTAGCGGTGGTTTTCTTCGTCTTTTGCCATAATATATTAGCTATAAATAATACAATTTTACAATCCGTACACTTGACGAGGAGTCTCCTTGAACATATGGATAGATAGATGTGTGTATGGATGTGCATTGTGTATTATTTTTAACGCACTCAGGGATTGCCTGTCTGTCTGTCAAATATACAATAATAAAAATAAGATTATGATGACGATTTTTTTCATATTATGACCGTACCTACATAACTTTTATAATATTTATATATATATATATATATTTTATAATGATGATAATAATAATCATTATAAATGCTCGGTGCACGGCTTTCTAAGGCCATCGTCGTCACCGATCGAACGGTGTAAGTATTGCATTGCGAAATTATCATTGTCGTGTCTGTCCCGGTCGTAGGTTTGCTCTATTGTGTTCTACGCTTTGAAAATTTGTTGAATTTTTAAAAAAATATAAAAAATTCCATCGTCATCGCCGCCGCTGCTGCTGTTGACCTTGTTTGCGGATCGATCGCATAATATTATAGTGTTTAAACGTCCGTCGTGCGTGTATCATTGGGCCTACTGCATACGGATTCGATGCGGAGGAGGTATTACAATGATAATATAAATAATATGTGCTTTCAATAGTATATTTTTGTTAACCGACGAACTGATTCCTTTGTGTAGCAAGTCTACAGGTTGCGGGAATAGTACCAAAAGTGGAAAAAGTTCGCTCATCCGACACCTTGTACGTTTACAAGTTTGGCGATGTTCAATAATGTTCTCGAAGAACAGTAGAATTACTTGTAAATTTGAGAATTACTTTAGGATTACTTGCAAGGAAAAAAATCCAAAAAAGAATATCCTAACAATATAATAATTATAAACATCATTACAGTATCTATACCATTTTATATTGATTTCTTACATTTTTTACTATCAACGGATTCGAAATGGTTTCTCAATAGTGATTTTATTACTAATGTATGTAAAATAATTTCCTGGACCTAATTTGATAAGATTTGTTAAGTCGGATATGCTGGCAAAGAGTAGCCAGAGAATGGAGAAATGAAGAAACGGTCGGCGCTAGAATATTGTTTAATAAATCATTTGATCGTTCAAATAGTAATGTTACAGTACCACTAAGTGATGAGTCATGAGTGATTTATGTAAGAAAAAAAAATACTGTATGTAAATGACAACACGTGTTGGGTCGTACAATACAAGAGGATGGAAAATCGTAGCAGATTTGTTGAATGTTGAAAAAAAAAAACAGAGATAAAGTTTTTATGAAAACTAAAACGCTTAAATGCACTATTTATCGTCTACGATAGGCTCTGGTTGTGAGTGCAACAAGTACCTACTTGAAAAAAATAAAATAGTATTTCCACGACGTCCAATTAGCTCTAAATAAGTGCGAATTGTTGTTTAATAAAAAAACAGATAGAAGGCATATTTTTAGTAAAAATAGTGTTTGACCCTTCTACCCTGTAGTAGTCCAAACGTACACAATATGTATTCATATTCACACACACACACACAAACATGTATGTATAAAAGTACTATGTGAGTTATATTATCAAATATTACAAGTTGAACCGTCGTCGGTCGACATTGACGGATTGCAATACATTATCATTTTTTTTTCTTTGTCAGGCTAGCAAAGCTCGGCCGAGATATTGCTCGTGACGTTTGATTAAAAAGAAATATTGCATCTTTTGTGTTTTTTTCGAATACAAATGCTTTTATTTTTGTCCGTACACATAGCAATGTACGACTATAACAAAGTTATATAATGTTGCATACATCATGTCCTTTTTGTGTACACTATAAAATAAAGTATAATATCGGTCTGCCATACCGGTGGCTTATTAAGATGGAGTGGGGGGGGGGGGGGTGTACATTGTACACAAAAGGTGTATACATTTTGTCAAAGCAAAATTAAAATTAAAATAAGTACTAACGAACGAGTTAATGCAATTTTTTGACAAGAAGCCAACGATTATAAATTGTAAGAGGTTTGGTTAGGTTTGTAGAAATGTTGGTGAAAATATACACTGAGATTTTTTATGGTTATTTCTTTATTTTAATTTGCCCAATTTGTGTACACGAGTACAAGGCTTGGGTATGTCTAAAGTAAAAATAATATCAAAACTATACTAAGTCGGCCGAAGGCAATGCCGCCAATATCCTCATAATGAGTAGGACAAGGATTTAAAAGCAAAATGCATTTTTTCTCCTTAAGGCTAACCCAACGGGGTCAGCATGGCCAAAATTCATTTTGAAGCTTGTAGATTATAGTTATTTGGAATTTGTATTTTGCATGTTTTGCTAGTTAATAATTCTATTTAAGTTGGTTGGTTAGTTTAGTTTAGTTTTATCCGACTACGTTTTGTTAAATTTTAACTTGTAATTCTTGTAAACAAAACACAATATGTACTTATTTAAAGAGATAAATCTTTTTTTTTTTTTTATTAAAACATTACTTTTTTTTATTTCGAAGATACATTATTTGAGTTATATATTTTATTGTTATTCAACTTTTGTTTTTATAAAAAAAGGCATCGAATAACACCTAGTCAGAATTGAGTTATTATGTTTGATTTATTTACCCCTCTACTAATATGATAACCATATGTTGTCAGTTGTATTACAAAATCCTGTTGTGTGTTAAATTAAAAATGTATATTTTCCATGTAATTAGACGGCATTGATCTAGTTTTCGATGTAAATTTAAAGTTCTCAAAAGTATTTTGCTTAACCGTTACGGTGTGTACTTATACTTTGCCATTTGTGCGCACGCCTCAATGGTGGCTTTAAAATTTATATAAAAAAAAAAAAAAAAAACCGGCATCGCGACTACTTAACCGCTTGTGAGTAAATAAAACCGAACCATACTCGTTTTGGCGTAGAATTTTGCAAATTAGTCACTCGGCGTGTTACTATTATTATTAATAATATTAGGTATTCTAATTGGATATAATATTACACATGTAACGTCACACACTTAGGCCTCGCAAGCGCCAGATGGTTGTGTACTGTAGTATGTTTAATGGACGATGAGAGAAAGTGGTTTGATATAGTAATAGCTTATCTTCGGCGCGAATTCTCGGTGTCCATATCCGAATTGGCTTAGCTAAATACCCTGCGGATTTGTGTGCTGTGTGCTTCATTATCTATCTCTAGCAATTTAGATTGTTCGAGAAATTTTACACCAGAGCTATGTCAATAGAGTTTATATAATATCGTTGTCACGTGTAGGTCAGATTCATTTGGTTGTTGTGTACAGTTTAATGATGTTTTTGTTAAATTAAAATTCTGATCAACAGCTGGGCCACAAATCAGCCCCAAAATCATCCGTATCCTTTAGTTTTAATCGAAATCTATATTGTCCCAAAAACATTTTCAGAGTATTGACATGATTTTGTCAATTATTTTCATCATAGTAGATATTATGTGTAGTAATTTAGTATTAAAGAACTTCCGCTGGTACATGTTTTTTAAATTAATTCCTTTTATTGGTGTTTACACTCAATGTGTAACAAATTTGTCCAAAAACTTTGGACGTACGACATGTGTGTCAACGCAACAACTTGGTTAAACTTTTCAAGAGAGCCGAAAATAAACTGATTAAAAACGTCAAATCAGGATATTTTGTAATTATCGGAGCATTTTAGTAGTACAAAATCATCCTGTTGCACACGGTTGCCTACCGCAATTTGAAAATTCGTTTTAATAATAATAAACATAAAACTGACTAGACTCTTATGACATTAAAATTAAAAACCATAAGGCATCGACTCGACTCAAGTGACCCAAAAGACGCGCCCACGGAGCACCCGGAATTATTAATTATATTATACGTTTGAAACTGATGGCTTTGTATATGAGTTGTGTCGTCGACCCCATAAATATTGTACACCGCAAATACTAGAAGGCAAACAGCGTTGTTGAGTCGTCTACTTTTGAGATATTAAACACGCAATATATAAACATGGTTATTCAATTTCAGTAGACTTAAAATGCACGGTGCCGCATCAACTTTTGGTGGTACTACGCGCACATTGAAATAGACGGGTTTTTTTTTTTTTATGCAAACAAACCTCATTTACACAATTATTATTTTGTGACTTGACGTCGTTTTCACGAGCGCCTGCGATTTATTATACCTAAGCGTTTGTTTTAAGCGCACGACTCGCTTTTATCACCAAAAAAATGGCATTCGATCAAATATACTAACGGGGGGAAAAAAACCAATTTAATTGTATAAATACAAACCTGACCTGGCCGGTACAAAACATTGTATATTTACATTACATTGGTGGTTCTTGCGAGTGACCGAAAAACGCCGTCTGCCATATTGGTTTTGAGGATGGCAGCCAGACTACTATAATAGATGAACTATAGATATAATGCCATGGCTTAAATATAATACTAGGTTATTGCATATCCCCCCCCCCCCACTTTATTATATTATCAATTCACAAAGTGGCAGCCTCGAAGGGTACATCCAAATACTATAAATGATGATAATACCGAAAGGCTAGGATAGGGAGGGTGTAGAGATGCAATAACCTAGTATAATATTTAAACCGTGTGGATAATGCCAGAAAAAAGCATGATAAATGAACAAAATGTCAGTGCCGCCGGCCTAGGTTTGCCTTCTGGCTGTGTACAGGTGGAACGGTCTCGATTGTGTCAGTTTTACTACACCCGTTAAAGCGAATTTCCTATGGATATTTTTTAATTTTTTATTTTTTTACGACCCTCACACCGGTTTGACAACTCTTAACCAACAAGAATTGCCGTCCTGAAGAAATAGATGTCTGGATAAAAAACAAAAAAAAAAAACAGAAATATTTACAAACGTGTATACTAATTAATGATTTTTTTTTTCTTATAACGTTTAATGTGATTTAAATATTTTAATATATTCATCCGTGTGTTGTTGTTTCAGTATGGCGGTGATGAATTCACACCAGATCCAGCTCGGTTTGCTGCTCAAAAGCCCGGTTCGTCCGTGTACGCCGCTGATTCTTATTACTTAGGTAATTTACAATTGTTTTCCCGACTATTGATTATCTGTACTTGATAATAATAATACTTTAATTGTTTGACGGTAGATGGTACAGGAAACAACAGCGATGTTTGGACCACCAGTGCAACTGCTCAACTTCAGTCTCCCACGACATACACCACGTACACAAATCCACCGAATTCGCTGCTTAGCACGTCACCGAACATACCGACAAACAGTTTTCCAGCGACGAATTCCATGTTAACCCCAGAGAACATGGTAACCACCGATTATTATTAGGCGTTAGTAAAGTAGTGTAGGCACTGTCTCGCGTAGTAGGCGAACAAAACAATAATATATTGTCCCTGCAAATAGGCGAAGAAATTATTGAAGAAAAAAAGTATAATAATACTCTACTTTTATCTGAATCTGAACCTCTTCGTGTTACTGTTTGACCAGAATGTTTTTCTCGGTTTGAAATCAATAATAATACCTGTATACATAAAAAAATTACTTAATACAACTTAACAGAATGTATAAACGTCACGTTGGCCTTTTTCCAATTTCTCGTCCTATTCAAGCGACTTAAAAAGTATTGACATCAGGTAACCTTTAAAACGAAACAAGTTTTTGAAATTTGTTGAAAATAAAGTTAGTGACGATTTTGTAAGTAACTTTAACCCTTAACTTGGCAAGGGCTGATTATTAAATATAAAAAATAACTATAAAATACTTAGTAGTTTTTAGGTCGGCCAGTTATATATAAAATATATGTATCTTTAAAGATGCAATGCCCAGTTAAGGGTAAAAACTAAGGCTGACTGTCTAAATCTAACATCGTTTTGAAACATAAATAAAAATCAATTTGTTGAGAAAAAATTGCACAATTTCATTTATGGCAAACTTCTTGGTCAAACGGAAGGACGAAAGGATTCAAAAGTAAATCTCAAAAATCTGAGTGTCTTACTCGTTTCAAACCGATTTGCAGGGCTCAAACATAAAAATTTTCCAAAAATCCCACGTAAGGTATAATTATATATTCGGTACGAACAACAGCTATCGATGGTATGATTTTTTTTGTATTTTTTCTGATGTTGCCATAGTTGGTAAGTGCCCACCATCTTCAGTGGTAATTTAAACGGAGTAGCCACTTGTTATTGAAATTAATGTTATTTGTTTATTGCAACGATAAGACTTGCTAGTAGATAATTTTACTCGGTTAGGTGATTGTGTGCAGTGTGCAGGGAAAATGACATGCGTTGCGACATTGTGCCCGTTTTATACGTATGTTTGTACAATGTTATTAATGTTTGTTTTTCGCAGGGCTACAACACTATCGTTCCAAATGCTAATTTACCTCCCGGCGGAGTTACACCTGCAACTGACGGACTAGGGACTTCCCCTCTACCGCCCATGTCAAGTCTGCGCGGAGCTCCTCCTTCCGCTCCAAGCCCAATTGCAGTTACCCCTAGCTCAATGATGTACCCGGGACATAACAGTCCCACTATTCAAACTCCTGGTGATACACTTGGCAAAGCATTAGCATCAGTACGATAAATATTATATTTCATAATTTTTTGTCGCTTTTTTACCTTATCACACGCCTGTTTTGGAATAATTTCATTTGTGGAAATAATTGTACGCTTTTTAAAAATAATAATATTTACCGTTAAGGGTGCATAACAGTTTTATTCGCTTTTACGCTAACATCTTACTATACTAACAATGGCAACTGATTAACAGTCATTTTTTATGGGTCGAATGCTGTTAATTATAAATTAATAATAATATAAACTCGGTACTCGGATGGATTGTTTATTCTCGTTTAACGTATCGATTGATTGTACCTCATCCTTGTTCCCTTGCGAGCCTTGTGCATAATATATTCAATTTAAGCCATAGTAGTACTTGAAAAGTCATCTACGTCAGTGGTTTTAGAAGTTGTGTCTTCTACTGAAATAAATATCTGAAAATTCTGAAAAATAAAATAAATAGGATATTCGTTTCATTAAATACCATCGAATAATATGTGTTGTAGATATATCCGACTGACCAGAGTGTCAGTAGTTACAGTTCAAACCCATCGACACCTATAAGTTCACCACCACCTCTAGCACCTATGGCGCCAGCAAACAGCGCTGGACCTTGGACCCCTGGCGTAGTAGCACCTCATCCTGGATCTCCTCATTTTCCTTCTACCGACCATCGAGCTATTCATATGGTATGTAAACGGATGACTACAAAACGCAATCATTAATCGTATTGTTGTCGGAACATTAAAAATAATATATTAATCAGTGTTTTAATAATAATGTATATTATAATATAATATTTATAAATAATTGAATTTTGCAATTTTTCTTTTTTGGTTTTGGGCTTTTGTAATTTTAGATTGCTTTGCGTTTTACACTTTAAAAGTTTAAAATATTTATCTATATTTTTTATTTAATGTTGATTCATTATCGCTACAGGGTACTAGAATGGAAGAAAGACTGGACGACGCTATTAACGTTCTACGAAACCATGCAGAGAGTCAGGCATTAAGTTTAGCCGGTGTTCAACATTCCTCCGCAGGCATTGTCCCGCTGTATCATCATCAACACCTAGTAAGTGATAAATAGTTTTCTAAATCATAAATATATTGACAATACTCTAATCGTGTTTTGTCATTTTTAGGGAAGTCCTCATTCAGCCGCAGCATCGGTCGGTGGCGTGCCAAATACATACCAAACTTTACCGACTTGCCCAGACAGTGACGGACCAATTAAAATCGAAAGATTAAGCAATAGCAGTATGTTTTATATTTTTAAAAAAAAATTTCATCGGAGCTTGTGCTAATACTGAAAACGTTACCGGGCTCTGATATTATCTATTATCTGATTAACTACATATTATATTGTCGTTATTCTTACATTATATCTTCGATTGTTTTAGAAAAGCGGAAAGAACCTCCAGACAGTTCGGATACGAAGCCCTCAAGCAGTGATCATTTGTTAGTAAATAGCATCGTTAATGTCAATTCACCCCCTGACGATTCGTCTTTAATTAAAAATTCAAAACGGTCCCGCCGATAGTAAGTTTAATGTGCAAATTTTTTCCCCAATCATTTTTAAAGTCACATTAACTTATAATATTCGTTAAAGAAACACTAACGGTGGGCTTGTTAATTATTATTTCTTTTTATCATAATATTAAAAACTGAATAATTATTATTAAAAATAAAATAACACCTTTTAATAACACAAAAACTTGCACAAATCTAACAAGTAATCTAAGAAATAGTCATAATATAAATCTTGTCACCTAATATATTATTAAGCCTCATGGCATAGCACTTAACTGTCAGGCGAACAAGGACCTAGTTGCACAATTTAATAACAATAAAAACAAGCAAATTAAATAAATAACATAAAACAAAATATATAATTACTTAAGCTCCCTCATCATCAACCTTTTAGTAGGATAAAAAAGTTTTAGACATATTATTATCATTATAATATTAATCATAGTTTCATGATTGATGATCGCTTGCAATACGATTATAAGTTAATATCATATTGCTAAAGTTACACTTTATTGAAATTGGTGCTGACTTGCATGACATAATATGTTTATTTGTGTGCATTGTGTTATTATTTTTCAGTTGTTCGAGTGCCGACGAAGACAACGAAGATCCATCAACGAAAGCGCACAGAGAAAAAGAAAGAAGGCAGGCAAACAATGTCCGCGAGAGGTAATTCGAGTATAATATAATATTTGAAAAAACGGATAAAATATGCACATTTTTTTTTTATCGTTAACGGATAAAATATTAAAATGTTAAGTAATACACTTAATTTACTAAAAACTAAACTACAATTATTTTTTTTCGTTTTTACGGAATGATAATACGATAACTAATATAATGTTTTGTGCAAGCTTTTTCTCTAATTCATTAAAAATATTATAATTAATATATCAATCTCTCTAAATTTTGAATCTGTAATATTCTTTTTTCTTCTATCTAACACTTGGGTTTTCTTTTTCAATTTTTAATTATTTCGATATAAAAAGATAAGCTTAGTGTTGTGGATCAACATTTTTATTTGTAATGTGTTTGATATTGCTGTTGTACAAGTGTGGACGACGAGTGCGAAGATCCTGAATTAAAAGCTCAACGGGAGAAGGAGCGTCGCCAAGCAAATAACGCTCGGGAAAGGTGAGCTTTTTTGTCGCTGACAAAAGCGGCTCTCGGCTCCTTTTTATCATTTTTGTTTTATTATTGTTTAAACAACTTAAGCTAGGTTTTGACATTGGTCCATTGGTCAATATGTTGAATGAAATTATTACTATCATTAAAATTGATGTCAGTGTGACATTTTGATTTTTAATTTTTTTTCTACTCGGTCACACTCCTTGTACACAGCTTAAAAAACGACTCGACAAACTAGGTTGCACTGTATAATATTTGTTTACTATAATCATTATTTCTTTTTTAATGAACGAATGAATGATTCTCAAGTTTACTGTCGTTTTCACAATGTTGTGTCAACACAAGTCATGTAGATTATCTTAAAAAACAAAAACTTGAATATGATACCGCTATAGTATAATAAAAATATAATGATGTAACGATAACCATTTCAAGAGATGAATAAATAATATCAATAACGACAATGTTGTTAAATTTTTGAATAGGATAAATATTGTAGATTGAATTTTTTTTAAAACGTTATTGTGGTTTTATTTAGTTGGATAAACAAAAGTACGCAGTTTTGAATTTTATGTACGATGTTTTTATTATTATTATTTTTTTTTTATATTAGAATCCGAATACGGGACATTAACGAAGCACTGAAAGAGCTGGGAAGAATGTGCATGACACACCTAAAGACGGACAAGCCTCAAACAAAATTGGGTATTCTAAACATGGCCGTCGAAGTTATTATGTCGTTGGAACAACAAGTCAGAGGTTTGTGATATTTTTATACTAAGTAGTTATTAGATCCTAGTTAATTATAATTGAGGTGTTTTTTTTTTTTTTTTTGTATTTACTATTATAAATTAACATGGATTTAACTGTTTGTGTTCCGTGTTCCTTTGTAGAGCGTAATCTCAATCCTAAAGCGGCTTGCCTGAAGAGAAGAGAAGAAGAAAAAGCTGAAGACACTGTTGGCCCTAAACTTGGACATCATTTATCGGCTGTTGCGCAACACATGGTTGTTCAACCTCCACATTTTCCAACCATGACAATGGTACGTATCGCATAATATTGTCTATCGTAGTAGACACGGATGGAAAATGTTATCGAAAACAACAGTGATGTTCGATGAAAACGAAACTATTAAAAAACAGTTTTCCATCCATGTTATAGTAATTGGACCTTCTAAAAAAAAAAAGACTGGTTATAAAATAAATTACAATTTTTACAGCAAAACAATCAAACAGGATTGCCTCACAATGGACCTCAGTAGCAATGGAGAACACCATCACCACACGCGTTGTACTCCTAAGTGGTCTGAAGGTGATGGGGCATTCGATTGCTTTAAACCATTCTCAGTTTATTTTAACGAGTATTGCCAAGTATATTATATATATAAATATATGTATATCTATATATAATATATTTATTAGTGATATTTTAAAACGATTTTGTTATATTTTTCTTTCTATACGATTTTTTTTTTTAATATTTAAAACATAATTGAATTCAATTGTGATGATTATTTATTATTTTGTTTTATTATCGTAGCGACCAGTAGTTTGAACCAAATTTTTTTTTTTTAAAACGGTTTGGAAAATGTATAATGTTTTTTTACACAAACAATGTTCACCTCGATCTGATGATACTAATTAGACGTTTTTGTTGACTTAGTATTGTCATTTATGTTAACTGTTATAATATCTTCGTGCTTCAATTAAGTTTTACCTAATGTAATCTTTTTTCATTAACTCTTAAACTTTTTTTCATCGTTATCATCATTAAAATCTGTCAGTATTATTTAAAAAAATATATAACTTAAAAGTCTCCTAATTATTCTGTCCGGAGACTGTTAATTTTATTTTGACAATCATTCAATTAGCCGTAAACTACAGGTGTTAAACATTTTTTTTTTCGATTAGTTTAAATAATTATTTTTAATTAATTAGATAGAATACGTGTTGTATACTTTGCCGTGATTATTTTTTTTATGTGCAATTTTGTTCTATGAAATTATTGTTATTTAAATAGTTTTGTCTGCTCTTAAAAATCAAACGATGTGATGAAAATTAAAGAAAGATTACATTTATTAAAACTATTTAATAACAGGATAAACATAAGTAAAATGTATTACCGAACATGTCTATTTAGTATGATTACAATGAGGTGAATTTTTTTAAAATTTATTATTATTTATTTAAAGCGATAAATGTTCACAAATACAAGTTTTAAATTTTTACAACTTAAACCTAACCTGACTGACGGGTTAAAGCGGCATTGTGATTGATCTGGCTAGAATTTCATCGCTGGCAGCCTTAAATGATTGACATCAATTATGTTTTTATATTAAAAAAAATATATATATATATATATTTATATATATACACATATGTATATGTATGTGTATGTACTTATATATATATATATATATTTCAAACCGTTGTGACGATTGTAATTAAATTTAAAGGTGTATATTGTGAATAACAGTAATGTACTACACGATCGCAATCGATTGTTTGTAAATTCTCAAATATACTTTTTTGTTGTAAAGTATGGCATAAACAATTACCTAGAAATCAAATGAAAATTATTATAAAGTATTTATTTATGTAACGGCGGTAAATTACAACATTTATAATTGACTGTTTTTTTTTTTTTTTAACTTGTATTATAATTTTTTTTATCATTCTTCCTAGTGTTAATTTTTGTCTTAATACATATATACATATGTCAGATCATCACTGTAGTTTAAAATAATTACAATTTGTATTTTAAACTTACAAGTAAAAATTTACATATATATATATATATAAATATTTAAAAAAAAAAATAAACAATAATAATAATAACACTTGAAATTATTATTTGTAAATGTTCATATTTTCATCAACCATATATGATGATGTATAACGCAAGTTTTAAACTTATAATCATCACGTTTATTGAGTTCGGATAAATTAAAAAAAAAAAAAAAATCTGTTATATGTAAATGTATTACGCTATATATTGCCATAATTTGTATAATTATTATTCCCAATTAATTTTTGGAGATATATTTATAACACTAGTTATTATTATTTTATTATTATATATAATTTTTTTTATTATTATTTTAAGTCTTATGTCATATTTTTGGTATTTTAGTGAAATTAATTCGTTTATAATTTATAATAGAAACTAAAGATTTAAAAAAAGAAACTAAACATCACGTCTATGTCGATTTTTTTTTTATGAAATAATTGTCTGTAAAAGTACTATTTGTAATTTGTACATATAGGCTGTATTATTATTTATATGTTAATTTTTGTAACGTTTGATCCAATATAAAAATGTATTTTAAATAAAAATATATTAAACTATTAATACAACTGAATATGTTTAAAATATAAATAAATCATATCAATACGAGAACATTTAATTTAATTTTTTTTATTATTATTATTTGTGCTTACAGCCAGTTGTCTTATTAATTTTTAGTTTTAGTATTATAATTTTTAAACATCATTAGTGTACTACAAAATCCATTTTCAACTAATAACTGTTAATTTTTCAGCAATTATTGATTGTTAAAATGTACATATTGTACAAAATTATATGATATTGTGTCTTCAAATGGAAAATAATAATAATAAAAAAAAAAATTGCAAAATAATTCTTTTGGACAAGTGTATTCTTTTAAATAGGGTATTAGGTTATTTATCATTTCTATTATATGTAATTTACCTTGGCTAATGTAATTTGATTACGATATATACTTTGGAGACTGAAGATCGATCATCGATCAGCAAAGAATTTATATGTAACAGCCAAAATAACCGTAGAACTCTAATACTTATACAATATTTGTATATGTATATTGAAGGCGATTAGTATATCAATCAATATTAAAATCAAGAAAAAAAAAGTTTAAAAATACCCATTATAAGAATTTTATAATAAAATCTTTACGTTAATAACCAACTTCAGACATTTTCGTTAAGGCTATATTAATTATTTATTATTACTAACTATATTATTAATTCATTAAATAGTAATGTAATTTTTGGGTTCTTTAAAAGTAATACATTGTTGACCTTTCATATCAAACTAGTAACGATTATCAAGCGGTTATTATAACTAATGTAAATATTTTTTTTGGGCTTTCAGTTTTACATATGTGTATTTCATTTGTAGATTCATATAAATCTTTGAAAAATCCGTTTTCACATCCAAACAATAAAGCATCATGGTTTTTCAACGCCTTGATTTTGACAACTACTAAATAGTTGAACAATTTTTACTTTCTTTATATTTAATGTCCTTCTAAAAGGTACAGAGAGGTGGTTGCACTATTATACATACTACACTATACATCCTAAGTTAGCAAATTATTGAAAAAAAAGTTTAATTCATTCAGCTTAATATGTTAACTTGGTTAAGCAAAATATATGTTGGCTATACGGCCTTTGCTGTTGTTATGGTTATTGGAAAGTTGTGTATCGAAAAACAAATGAGTAAATATCCAACAGAAACGGATTAAACAGTGAGACACCTTTGGTCGTCTTTCATAGAGTTCATACGACTACCGGCAAACTTTGTCGGGCTTGAAAGTTCTGAAGCTTAAGATTAATATTTACCCTGACTTGCTGAACTTGCTGTGAACCCAACGACACCACACAATCGATAGTACTGAACATCGATGTTACCCTAAAGCACGGTGTACTCACTGCGCATGTAACCACCCCATCCACGCAAATCGTCAACCCCCTCCCCATTGTGTCCAACCCTCTTGTATAGTCTGTTTTGGTCGTCGCAGTTCTTTGGGACGCATCGATAGGCGGCGACATACACCAAACAAACGGCTGTCCATATAAACACAATGTCTGGCATCATCCGTGTACTACAAAACGACGGTAAATATTATGAAATAGTTTTTATTTGTATATACTCGTATTAACTAATTTGGAAACTGCATTTTACTTCCATTTGTATGCATATTTTGTGCTCAGTTTCATAAATGTATACATACATATTTTTATACTACCAGTATACCTAGTAGTAGTCTAGCTACTGGCGCTGTTGAAAATTAATCCGGGTTGGATAGGAATAACATGTAAGAATATATATATATATATGAAGGCTAAAGGAGCTCGGGTTATGACTCTAGGTTTTTCGCTGTTGGCAGCTACAACGCGCATTATACAAATGCGAAAATTATTGATTTTTATCGCGGGGGTGGACCAAGAGGGTGGCAGCTGCCAAAAAGACCACTTTAGCAGTCTAGCACAGTGTGACCAGCACGAGGGGTATGGCCGGCAAGTGTGTGCGGGGGTATTCCCTAACAACTTTTTTATCACAATATGATAAACCTACAGACGAAGATGTAACACACATTAGGTACACGACGCCATTATACAATCATTATACCACTCGATTCCATGTACTTAAAAATGAATCAATTTTCGAAGTTAATTCTGGGTTAGGACTTTGTTATTGTTAGGATGTCGTGTTATTTAGCTGTGGTTGTAATTTAACAAGCTGGTGACGAATTTCAAACACTTCTAACGATTGAAATAGGGGTGTAAACAACAATAGATTTTTGTATGTTTTTTTTTCCTGTGCAGCTTGCTTTGGCAAATTTGGCTGGAAGAAAATCGGCATGACGCACTATTTTCCGTTCACCATCCGCCAACACGACGACGACCGGCAGCAGCAAAAGCACATGATCAGCTCTCGAATCGTCGAAAAGGTATTCCACAAGTATCTGCATCATCCGTTCGACGGGGACACCGTTCGCGAGTGCATTAGAATCGACAGTTTCGCCATGACGCGTGCCGAGCAAAATCTTCTGAACTACATCAACCAGGTGCACTGCGATCAGATGTACGACAAGTGGTCGTTCGACATGAACAGAGACGTGCTACTCCGGCTGGAAGACGTGGAAGAGCTGTTCGTGTTCATAAAGATATTCTACGACAAAACCGTGTTCAACACCCTGCGCATACGCCAACAGAGATGCGGATTCTTGAAGGTCAACAACCGCAAATTTCTGCCTTATTGCGTCAAGGACAACCGAAAGTACATTCCGCTCTTCTGTCTGGAAGGCAACCTGGACGCCGTGAAACCGCACAGCGTGCTAATGACGGATTGGAATTTGGCTTACTTGAAATACGTCTGCCAGCTGCTGGAATTGCCCAACTGGCTGTTTTCCGGCGATTCCATACTTGCGGCCACGCTGCAAGTCGCCAAAACCACATTGCCTCCCGACACGGTATACGAAGAATACTGGCCGATCGTCGTAAGTCCGCCGCCGCCTGACCTCGTCCGACCACCGTATCAGTCAACTGCCAACCGTGTAAGTTACCAGACGGTCGAGTATATACTGTCTTCCTTGTTGACCTACTTAACCAAGTCTGTTTAACGTGCGACTCGTGTTTTTGTAGGAACCTTTGAGTGTCACACAAGGCCAGTCGACCAGTTCTGATAACCAAAGTGCAGTGGATCAATACTTCAGCGAGGTATGCTTTTGCTACGGTTCATTTGTGTAGCTAGCTCAACTGTAAAACTGATATTTTATCTTGTTTTTAACATTTCAAAATAGGATACGGGATTTCAATTGAACACAGGTCATGCAAACCGCAGGCGAGCATATTTTTCACCTGGTCCATATAATCGAATGTTGCACTGGCGACGGCCGCGACGTTCTTCAGTTCGGTTATCCGAATTTGACGGTTTACCATCAAACCAAACATCGTCATCAATCCGCCAATCATACGAACACTGTGAACATAAGTACCTAGTGCGTACCCACTAAGAGACCTAAGCGTCGAGATTCAACACACACAAAGGTCGAAATAATATTATGTTTTGTAACACAACAGGTTCAACCGACCACACTCAAAGACAAAACGATATTTTGCATTAACGTGGAACCGTACGTGCACTCCGACTACATGGTGGCCGTTCAGGATTTAGTAAGACAGTTATTCCCCAACAGCAGTGTCAAGAGATGTGCCTTTCTGTTGTCGTTTCTGGAGAAACCGCTGTACAGCGGCAACGCGTGAGTACATTAAACAGGGTGTCTTAAAAATAATGGGGGGGGGGGGGTTCAAACGGCTGTAGACTGGTGAAGTATTGGACCTACAGCGCTCTGGCAGGGCTTCGGTGAAAGAGGGAGTTGTCAAGTTTCGCATGACTGCCACTAGAGATGTTACTTCACAACCTACAGCCGTTTGAAGAAACCCCGCCATTCTTTTTGAGACACCCTGTATATAATACCTCTATTAGCTCTTCACGCTAACAATGTTGTTGTTTCATATTACAGTGAACAATTAGCCGTCATGAGGGCAAACGGCCGGACGCAGGATATCGCTTATGCCGACGAACTTCCATTTGTCAAGTTATTCGACCTCAGGCTCGTCTTAGACGAACTCAGCCGTTTGATCGAACAAGACGAACAGGAGCTGCAGAGACCGCCGAAGAAGCGGCAACGGCTCAACTGAAACAGGACCGGTCCACGACTCAGAATAACATATTTTGATTCGTGGAAAGGACCTTCGAGTCAATTAGCTCAGTACTGCAACCAATGGGGGTGTTAAGTGATATCACTCCCCTAAATTTATTATATTTAGCTAGGACAGCAGTGAGGGTCGTCGTGCAATACAGATTTCAGAACTCTGTTACTCGCACGACGTCTATTGTACATTTTTAGGCAATTACAATAATATTATTGCTCGTCAACGCAATGCGGACAGAAAACTATATCATTTCAACCCTTTCTTGTGAAATCTTAAACCCTTCAACGTGTGATTACCACCCTTTACGATCTTCCATAAATATGTACATAAGTGCACATTTTCTTTACATACACTTTGTACATAACATACTGTCGTTTGGAGTTCTCTTTTGCTATCTTTGCAAGTGTGTTCAAATACAACTTTTTTCGAATTAGCAGGCCAAATTTTCTTCGTTGTTTGAACTGATATATTTAATACAACGTTACACTTTCCCTAAATAAGTCCAACGGTCATTAGGCAGGTTTCCTGATCGAAGATTCCTTTGGAGAAGAGCACGGTATATGTACCTGTTCGCATGTCCCTTTGGAATTCATTGGTTCAAGGACCTCACAGGACACTAGGAATCATACTAATCCCTCCTAAACGAGGGGAGACAAATAGGGACTTGGTACGGTTCCTGGGATCAACGCCTAGGCCCCTGCTCTTATGAAATTCCCGTTTGGGCAACTCACATGGGAAAAATCAATAAGACTATTTCGTTTACCATTTACCGGGTGTGATTATTATATAAATTAAAATATAATATCTTATTACTAAGATAACATATAATACGTGTGAAATTCAAGAAAAGCAATATTAACGACAGTCCTACATTTTGTATAGGAATTTGTCGTTAAATATTTAAATCATTTTTTTACTAATTTAATATAATATGTTTTCTCTCTCTAAAAATCAATCAAGAATTAAAAAAGCTTAAATGTAATTAATTATTTCATTTATTCAATGCTTTATTTTTGGACTTGTATTACTATAAATTCGTTTGTACCTATTATAAAATGTATTAAACTATTTAAAAATAAATACTTGATGGTTGTGTTTAATTTTTATTTCTGTATAATTTAAAGTCATAAGAACAGAGCAACTCGCGAAAAATATACTATTTTTGTACCATTAACATAAAGTGGAAGAAATGTTTTTGAAGTAATATTTGATGTACTTGAACATTTATATCAGGATCGGAAAGATAACAAGTTTATTTTACATATCCTATATGTTGGAATTATTATAACTAAATTAAAAGTGATAAAATACAAAAACTATGATTTATATATTTTATTTCCCCAATAGCAAATTAAAAATAAATTATATTGGTATAATAATTGTTATTTAAAAGGCAAGTTTTGTAGTTAATTAATTTAAATAAGTATAAGTATATATTTTTGCTGATTTTTTTTTTTGAAAGAGTAAAACTACAATCCAAACATCAAATAGTATTTAGTATATTTCGTTTCTATATAATGTGACTACAGGCCGCAATTCGTTTTTTAATAATAATATTATAAAAAAAACTATACTCTTCAAAATTATGAGTACATGAGTGTATTTATATTTATTCCGAATAAATAAATATTTAAATAATCAATAATCGAATGAATGATTAAGAATAAACAGAATTTAAAAATTCCACTTGTTCCAAAAGATATTTCAATTATCTCCTGGGTCAGTGTATAATTTAAACAAAAGAACTATTTATTATTACAATATAGTACTACATAACTATAATTGTACGTTTGTTTATAAAATTAAACAGACCGAGCACTGATAGATGTAAATATTTTTCCAACACCTTTTTTGCTTTAAAATTAATTTTGTAATATAAATTAGTCTTGTCAGGTCATCTTAAGAGGACGTCGCAGTCAAATATTTCGAGTACTAAAACACCGCTTCGGACTTCAAATAGTACTCAGAAACTATTAATCGTAGAATAAATCTAAGGATACCTAAAGAAAGCCTGGAATGTCTACTATGTGCGTATAGAGCCATATTTCCAAAAAAAAATTGTTTACTTATAGTTATTTCAATAAGAATTTTTACTTTTTTCAAACGTTCATAAAACCATTGTAAATAAAGTTATCGAAAAAAACTCTCTATAGGCACGTAGAAAAAGTTCTGATCTTTCATATGGTACTATAAACAATTTTCTACCACCAAAAGCGTACGAGTACTATTTGAAGTGCGAAGGGATGTTTTTTTAATTTTTATAATAATTATTACGTCGAGAGCTGGCGCGCCTAGCGGCCAATTTATTACATATCTTTATACGTTCGGAAAACCGGTTTTGGGCCAACTGCCGTAGCGCGGCGACAGCGATAACGTCAACGGTGACACCGCAATTATATTATTACCTGAAGTAAAAACAGATAACCCAATTTTTAACAATCAATTCTCAATAACAAACAAATATTATATTTTACTTGCGCAGCGATACTGTTATTTAATATTTGCTGTTTTATGTTCATTATTTTATAGAGAATTAGCTGAAGAAGCCAGTCGCTAAGTCGCTTGTATGTAAAAGGTAGCAATTGTAGTAAATTATAATTTGTAAAAATTGTGATTTAAAAAATGGTTTAGGGAACGGTGGGAGGGAGGGGGTACCTCAAATTATTTTAAGGCACACTGTAAAAAAAATCGGAAAAATATTCAAATACCTCTCCGAAAAACCGAAACATTGTACTACAATGTTTACACCCCAGACCAAAATTAGTGTGGGGCCCCCTCCCCTCCTCAGACCAAAATTGGAAATTTTTAAGTTGCTATGTGTAAATTAATCAACAGTCAATTTTTAGTTGCAATAAATCATATAGATCAGTAATGTATTTTAAACAACATTTTGATTTTTGGGGGGCCTCCATTTCTTTTTTGTATTACCTGGTGTCCGTAATTTCTATATTCTTATTTTTCGTAAAGACGGTTTTTTACTCTCAATCTAAGCCACCCCCCTCATTCAATGCCGACCACTAAAAACGTATTTATCTAACATAAATATTTGAAAAATGAATTTGTCAAACGTTCTAAGTGCCAAAGTATAAAAATTGAACTTTATAATTTAAATTGTATTTTATCCATTACCGGTGTAGTGCACCGGTCGGATGACCGCGTACAAAACACCGTAAACGACCAACGTTTGAATAAGTTAAACTTTTGAATTAATTGTAATAGACATATAACAATGTTTAATAAATTTGATATAATAATAATGTTTAATCAATTTTGAAGTTAATAACTGAGTAGTGCAATCAGTCCTATCGTTAATTGACTACCGACTACTCGACGCCGTCGCTCTACTCGAACATAATCAAATAATCAATTAAAAGAATAAAGTATAATTAAATTATTACAAGGGGACACCCATTGGTCACGTCTTAGTGACCATGCATAGACGCGAAAGGAGGACATGCCCTTATAGGGACCCATGTGCACTACGTGGGTTTACTACACCGGAAAGAATTTTGTAAATTTCAAGTAAGGAATAGATATTTATTAAAAAAAACAATCATATTTAAAACTCAAAAATATGTTATGTTTCCGCTAGTGAAATAAAAAAAATCAAATTATAAAGTTCAATTTTTATACTTTAGCACTTGGAACGTTTGACAAATTAACTCTTCATTTATACTATAATTTATTTTTCTATATAATTACAATTTATAAATTAAAGAGTATTACTCACAATATATTTCAATTATGATTTCGTATTCTATTTTTTTTTTTTTTTATAACAAAGCTAAATTCCGCAATAATGTCGGCGGTGACCACCATAATTTTCGGGATAACAACAGATAATCTAAGCTTATCTAATTATATTATTTGTAAATATTGTAGAAATATGACTTTACTTGGGAAATACTGTATTTTTGTTGCACAGAGAAGCCACATTTTTATTTTTCCTATTGTGTTGTGTGTTTTATAGATAAAAATTATAATACAAAATTTACATATGTACACATTGTTTTTTTATGAAATAGTATTAGATTTATATATAATTATTATTTAATGAAATAAATCATAGAATATTATATATGACCCGTCCAGCACTTAAAGTTTATAACGGATACTCGTACCATTATACAATTATTATTCTATTGATGAATTTTTATAAACATGTTTTCAATTATTAATTTTGGATTTATAAATGAATTATCAGAAAGCTGAAATGTTTTACATAAAATACTGATTTTTAATGATTTTGTTTGGTGACCTATAATACTATAAAAAAAAAACAGTAAAAAAGAAAAAAAACTAAAATATTCATTACGACCATGGCCAATATAGGCTAAGCAAATTTGGAAACACGTATTTTATTGTAACAGACATGCAAAATAAGTATGCTCCAATATAAATGTTAATAAGTAAGTACGCTATACGAGGTACCAAGTTTATTCTGATATCTGAGAAAATTATTTATACGCTAAAAAAAAGTAATTAAGTTATCAGAATGATTCAAACTATGATGGGTATTGTATTTTCTACTCAGTCCATTGTTATATAAATGTTAATGAACAGTAGCTATAAAAAAGATTTACTCGAGATTGTAACACGCGCGCGAGCTCGCGAAGTAGCGAATGTTTACCGCGACGAATCATACGTTTCCAGCATAATATTAGTTTTTACTAGATCGGCAGTCGGTGATAGAATAATGTGCCGCTCTGATAATACTACAACGCGCCGCCGCAGCACTCGTATGGGCGTGACTATAAACCGCCGCCGCCGCGCCGAGACGGAGAATAACGCCATCTCTCGGGAGTTGTATACGTAACACTTTACCTGCGACGTCCTCTTAACTGTTACATTCATACCAAAGCATAACAGAAATATACAATATTAAGTATTATTACTATGTTACTGCAATATAAAAGAAATCGGAATGCCTACTAAAAGTTGCGACTAGACATTTTGATTTTATTACAAGTCCTTCTGCTCAAATACCATGTTAAAAAAATGCATTTTGTAAATATTTTTCAATAGACAGTAGCGTTTGATTGGAGATAACAATTATTAACTAGCAATTAAAACTCTTAGAGCTAAATACAGTGACTTTAGGTACTGCACGGTCAAATACAGACAATAGTTTTAGTTTCCAACTTTTCAATAAATAGGTAGTTATTTTAGAGAACCCACACGAATCTACTGTTGTATTTTGATTAGTGCAGTAATATTAAAGCCTTTGCTCTGCACCTGATGTTTGTATACCTGTTATAGCTATATAGATACACAGTTTTTTAATCAAAGGCATTTCGTTTAATGATAAAAAAAGCAATAGTATGTCTTAGGTCGTTTAAATTCAGTCATTTTTCTTCTTTTACTTAAGTACTATCCGTTTCCAATATGGCGTAGTACTTGATCATGATAGCGATAATGACCACGTTGAAGAACAGTACTATGAACAGTGACACGAGCACGGCGAGCACCGGATGACCGTCGAACACGTTAAAGTACTCGTCGTGGCCGTCCACGGTGGCCGCGGCCGAGTACGTCCACGCGCCTATTGCCAACATGGCTAAGCAGAAGGCGACCACGCAAAAGCGACCACCGGTGACGGCCAACATGTCGCTGACGGTTAACGCGCTGTCCGAGTGGACGGACAACCGGAACGTCCGGATGATGGCCATTGCCAGCATGACGGACGCCAATTGGAGCACGTACCAGTGTAGCCAACACACTTCGATAAGCGTGCCCGCGAATTCTCTCTCCATGACATTGCCGTACT